TTTAGAGAATCATTACATTCTAATATTAGGGACTAAAATATATGCTTGCTTCGAAAAAATCGTATACTTAATTATATAAACTAGAAAGTCAAACATAATATAAAAAAATATACGCCAATTTAATTGTGGTCTATTTCTACTAAACTTATATAGCCAAAATATATACACTTTGAAAACATTTACCCATCCCTTTTTATTGAGATTTGAATTTTCTAATATTAAAATCTTATATGTTATATGTTCTCATACAAATGGCAGACGTTTCTTGTTCAAATTGATATATTCATAAATCTTTTGCAGTAAGAAAGGCTATCTAGGAACGAATTATCAGCAGAAAGAAAAGTTTTATTTTTCTTTCCTAAGCCAATTTCCGTTTGATTTCATTTCCAGATACGTCGGTTGAACGATCGAGATACTTTTTGGCAATTAACACATTTTGGTAGACAAAAATGCTCAGCTTCGGCAATTTATTTTACTTATCAGTCTCAATTGTCCAAAGGAAATTGGTATTTCTGATAAAATATGGTCATTCGTGTTATTTATTGTAAGGAAACTTTTTTCTTTACGCTTTAGTAGCTTCCAGATTTAAGTCAACAATATACTCATAATGTTTGTTTTAAATTTAGTAAAAGTGTACATCTCGTTCTGTGCCGCCTATTGAGCAAAATGAAGCACTACTTTCTTAGTTACTCATAATTATTCTTTATCAATTTTTTGCTTAATTGTTAAGCATTGGAAAAAGTCAAACAGAGTTAAGCCTCAAGCATTAAATTCCTCGCATCACCCCATCTACCACTTAGGTGGATGATATAATTAGTAGAGTGTCCAATTAAAGAATTAAAAATCGTAAGATTCTACTATGAACTTTGTACAATTTCATATAAATATTACATTACAAATGTTAATCATTAAACTTCACTATTGTGATTTCTATTCATTTTCTAAATTGCACGCGTTTATAATAATTATAAACCATTGGAGTGCAATATATTAATATTTCACTAAGTAACCCAATTCATTTACTAAATCGAATTGTGCAGTGAATCAATAAACTGCATAAATTGTTTTATTGGAAAGACAATAGAGAGTCTAAATTATAATCCTGTAAATAATAAATTAATTGCATTTAAACGAGCAGCTCATAAACCGGGATAAATTGAAATTTGCGCTCAAATCGCATCACTTATTAACATGGTGGCATATTTAAAATTACTTCTGTAATTTGATTTACCAGAGAGTCGGTCAAAGTTTCACTTCCATAGAACGTGGAATATTCTTCATATAACCAGAATAGTGTCACTATAATTTGCCATTTTACGATTACTTTAATGCAGTCAATCAATCTATTTGATGCAAATATCGCAGCTTGATCAACGGATTTGTTAAAAGATGATAAAGGAACAAAAAACTCAACAATTTTCTTGACGTTACAACTTTTACTGGAAAATCGGTGCAGTAACAAAATGACATTTTTGTTCAAAACCATCATACTATATTGAAAGAAGACTTAAATGTAGAAATATAATTAGTGATAATACACTAATTATATATTATTACAAAATATTACAAAAATAATTACACTATTTTTTCCGGAAACTTAATTGACGTTACATACATACATATACATACTCAGTACACTAAAATTCATCGCAAGAAAAATACTTTGGTGTGCTTATTTAAAATTTGATAATCTAAAAGACAATAAACGAAATCTCAAAAATAGAAATGTATGTTCCTTTTAAGCAAACCTCCCATAGTAATTAAAATCAGCGATCATGCAAATTATCATAAAAAGTTGGTTTTACTAATCCGAGAAGATTTGTTCATTATCATTCATTTACGACCATTGTACTTAATTAGGATAATAAATATAGAGCATGTTTAAAACAATAGGCCATAACAATTTTGAAAAGAACGGGACAATATTATTTGAATTTTCTATAAAATGCTTTGGAGAGTTTGGCAATTTGATGTACAAACAGTTATTAATTGAAACCAAATTATATTTTTGAGTAATTAATTTCATGGCGATCCTTTAATACAAAGGATATAGCGAGAATTATAGGAAGGCTTTCGACGAAAATAACGGGTTTTACTATTTTTTTCTGTTGTTTGTTATAGCACGATAAGCCTGGGAAGCGATGTTTAAGTTACAGAGTTATTAGACCGTCAAATTCCTGTGCACTGTGCATTCGGATCCAATACGAGCGTAAAATTTGTACGAATGTATAGCATATTAGCTTAATTAATTAGTGATACTTCTTGTATTTTTTGCCGATTGTTTTTCTTGCTAAATCTTTGGGTGTTAAGATTTTCCATTTCGGTTTCCTTTCAATCATATAAAAGACACGGAACGCTTAATCCTGATTATCATGAGGAGCGTATGGTTTAAAACGTGTGTAAAAAAGGGATTAGTGGAAGGAATCTAACTATTGGTGCTATGTTGGTGCAATGATCAAATGTGTCTTCGAGAATAATTATTGGGTAGGTGCAGACTGTAAATTCACGTCGAAAGTATTAAAGTCTAAAAAAAACTTATAACTTTTAGTTTGGCTGCTTGTTGGCTCTCTTTGATTCTGACGCAATTAAAATTTTTCATGCCCAATTGCGCATTATTCAGCAAACATTTCTGCTCAAAATATATACAGTGAATCGCAAATGTACTAGACAAAATTATTCAAAAATCAGGTGTTTGTTTGTTGAATAATCGCTTGGACCTGTCGATTTATGTTTTTACTTGCGCATTTTCGGAACTAGGTTTTATTTCTAGAGGGTGACCAAAAGAAAAACAAATTGACATCTTGTTTAAATACAACCTCTTTTATGTTAATCCCCTTTTATGTTAACTTTAATAATAATTCAATATTAGTTAATATAAAAAATAATTCGTTTTTAAATTTGGAAGGTAATTTGGCTTGCGACTTTCACCCGCTAATTTCCCGAAAACCGTTTGATAATAAGTATACAGTATGCTGCATCAAAAATTATTAGACATTTATTACAGAATTGAATAAAGTTACAAAACTTGTTTTTTATATACTCGTCTTAACGGGTTTTCATTTTAAAAAGTTTTTCGGGGTCAACCTATAGCTACATAAAATAAATAAGTACAAAAATAAAGTGCATCAATAAAAAATTAGCACAGAAATGATATGCAATGTATTTACTGCTCACTGTAATATACCTATTTCCGAATTAATTATAAAATAGTGTGCACAAGTTTCAACTCTTGAAATACGTTCGAAACTGCTGTTGTCTGAATATTAACTAAAACAAACAAGAATATCACTTTTAACTAAAAGGCACTTTTGTAGAAGGAAGGTTGGTAGGAACTTTTGTAGAAGGTAGATGTATTCCAAACTCGTTGAAAACTTGTTTTTGCACTTTAGCAAAATAGCAAATCAAGATAAAGACGCAAGTAAATCGGGACAAAAAATTAAACAAAGTGTAACCCATTTTGCCTGCTGCGGTCAAAATAAAACAACAGTCTTAATCCATTAACAAACAATTTGTGGCAAGTTTTTCGGGGTGGCTTTTCTCAGTTAGTAGACCAAGCTGTAATTTGCTGTTATTTCCGCGTTTCGGCTTCCATATAGCTCCCTTAATGGGAGAAGCCATTACATGAGCGCATCGTCGCTCCATATTATATTTGTCTTCAAGCAGTTAGCTTTGGCGCCAGAACGCCATCGTTCTGGGGAGTCGCTTGATGAACTCTTTCAGATTTTAGATAAGGGGTTTATACATTTTGGCGTTATCATTGTTTGCTGCACAATTGAGGTTGAGAATCGAATAGTGTGGATAATACAGCTGCAAACTGTGAGAATTCTTATAAGAATGGTTTTTTATTCTTCAATAGCCAAATTCTTAGTTTTTAAGTCTTAAAATAAAGAGCACAAAAATGGACCTAAAAACTTCATGTTCCAAAATTGGTATAGGCTTTAATAAACCAATCCGTTTCGAATGAGTAGGTAATTCCAAGTTCTTCAGCGATCCAATTGAGTGTTTCCTATTTTATTGTTGTGTACATTGCACTTCTATGCAGTTCAGACCAACTTCTAATAGCGCATCAAGTGGTAAAAACGCTATTGGGAGTTTGTATTGAGTTTCCAGTAAGAAGGTTGAAAAGCAAATATGTTCTTTAAACTCCAGCAGTCGAAATCTAATTAGAATCATATGAAATGAGAAAAGTTTCGATCCTATTTGATTATTTAATGGTAAAAGCAACAATTAGAGTATGTTGCGCATTATAATGTGTTTTGCTGATCATATTAAAATAGATGTAAAACTAATAAATATGAACAAGAAATTATCAAGTATCTAATAAAAAGACTGCTTTTAAGTTTTTTAAATTTCTAACAAATCCCTCGGTCGTAAGTATTTAATTAATTTTGTATGTTTCGTTAGTTTCAAATAGGACAAAAATGCGCGATAATCAGGATTTAAAATGGGGCGAAATTTTTTTAAACAAACATTTTCAAACCATGAATAATCCACTTCTTGGTTTTTATTATATACATATTTATTTTTAAGTAGTGGTGTGAGATTTGATTACTTTTGAATACTCCTACCTACTAGTTACTTTTGGATTCAATACTCGTTACTTCGGATTAGTTATTCGAGTACTCATTCTAGTAGTAAGTCTTACGAAAGTCGAAGACCGATATTGGTATTTTATTAGTGCCCTTCAGATTTATTACACGGACCCTTTGGTCATACAAACCATATCCAACCCTTGAATTTATGATTTCCATTATAGATAGGTATATTTACGTCTAAGTTTTTCTTCATTTTTAAGCCAGTTGTCAATTGATTCCCTGTTGTAGGTACCCTATGTTGTCTATATTGTAGATATTGTCCGCAGACATTTTGAAGCCCCACGGTTGTTAATACCTACAGTATCTAAATAAATTGTCTTTTTGAAACAATTTTTGAAAGCAAGTCATTTAACTCTGTGAAGCAAGATGCCACACATCCATCAATAAATTTTACTACAGTAGTAATACAGTGCTACAATTTTCAATTTAATAACGCCTTTTTACAAATATGCAGTTTTGAAATAAGTTACAGTGTTATTGATTAATGGTTACATTTTATATTATAAATGTAAATGTAAAAATATAGTTGAAGTTTACCATGCGGCAGCATGCAAGGCTTTTTTTAATGATTAGATTCATCAACCAATGGTGTCGTCAGTTATTATAACTTATGACATTTGTTAAAATACAGAACGCAAACCTATGAGCTACTTTGAGCATTTTAGCTGATATGTAGTAACATTTGCATAGTACGTTAGTTGATTGCGCGGATTCCAAAATAAGAATTTATATAGAGAATCATACGAATTGGCTAAAATTAACTCCTCTCAAATATTTCGAATGCTCTGGTAGCGTACTGCCACGATGAGATTTCACCGCTTTCAAAAAATTGTTTATTTCGACTGGATTGAAGGTTGTCAGTTTCTAAGAACTTATGATTAGCATATACCATTTGCTTTAAAAATTAATGTGATTTCTTCACAAATGACAAATTTTAACAAAATATTCAACAGTACATGGGAAAAAAACATATATTTTTTTAAGTGATTTATTACACCAAGAACCAATAAATCGAACAAATTAATTACGATATTCCACAAAACAAAATCGACGTATTGAAAAGTGTGGGTTCTTTTGGGCACAAATAAACATATTAAGGTAAAATATATAAAATAGTTGTCTAGCAAAATTAAAAGCAAAAAGTTTTCAAATTAAAACGTATGGACACATTGCATATCAATTGAATAAAAATCAACAAATAATAAACATTACATTCGGGGTGACAGCAAACTCATAGACTATCTCAGGTTTTCATTCAAAATATCGTTCTTGTGATGAGATGGTACAGTGGTAAATGAAGGCGAAATTAGGTAATTTTGAGGAAAAGAGAAATTAGAAGGGAAAAATATTTGTCTAATCGAGGGGTTAGGAAAGATCGGTGTTAAGTTTGGAGACGGTAGAATTTGACTAGGAGAAATATTAGATGATCTTCTGTTATTTTCCCCCATGCGATTTGGATTAGCTTCAAACTTAATTGCGTCAGGGGTATTTGAACAAGACGTGACAATTATAAAAGGGGAATTAGGACCACAAACTTGGGGTGGCAAATAGTTGGGAGTGCCTTCGGACTTCATCTGTAAAACGCTTCTGAGTTGCTGATTTTGCATTTCATTTGTAAATGATTCCTGACGCTCTGGAGGAAGGTGGGATAGTTTCTGCGAAAAATATCGCTGATCAATAGTAGGCAGTACTTTCATATGTTGTCGAATCGTAGCTATGTGAATCGCTGTTATTCCCAAAAAGTTTTTGATTGTGGTATCAGCATTCTGTTTAAGTAGGTATGATATGGCTGGATCATTTTCCATTGCATGAGCGAACATGAACGGCGTTATACCTAAAAAAAAATTAAATAGTAGTTTTTTATTGAAACACCAGTAGTGAGCAATCTGGAAAACTAGTCCATTCTTTATTGTTCATCAATCATTAAGTTTGTTTCAATTTCTCCTTCAACTTTTTTTCAAGCAATAACGTAAATAAACGTTTTAAGGGCAGCGTTAATTTAATTGAAAAATATTTGAACTTGTTATATTCAGGGTGGTCACACGTGGATAAAATGAGGCATGTATGAGGTACTTCAAGCATATCTCTAAATATGAGCCAAATGTTACGAGTGTTTTTCAAAACCCGCTTTAGTCTACAAAATTCTAATTTTGCGTTAAAACTAGAAACACTCATAAATTGATGTGTGTACAACTAGACGTTTGCAGCTCAACTGGCACTCAAAATATGAGCCAAATACTTAGACCGGGTTTTGAGACCCACATTTTTTTTTTAATATCTGGTATAAAAAAGTATAGATTATAGGGCTCTATCCTGTAATAACAACTCGAACGTTGCAGCTTAACAGGTTCTCTAAACTTTAGCCAAAAACTACGAGAGTTTACAGATTTGCATCAAAACTGTAAATATTCTTAACATTTTTTAACAAACTCTTTGTTGGGTATTTCGCCTCAAAAATTTTCTCACGTCTTTTATTACAGATTGATAAATAGTGCTCTTATTTTGCAATAAGAACGAATTATTTATAGTTTTTAAAGACAAAAATTTTTGAGGCGAAATACCCAACAAGATAGAACTTATTTATTCTCAACATGTTGTGTGGTATAAAAAGATTCTCCTTCAAAACTCCATCCCGCAATTTTAACTAGATATTTGCAGCTGAACCGGATCTTTAAACATGAGCTAAAAGCTAAACGCGATATTTAAAAGTTATTTTAATTTTGAATTTTTATTTTTGCGCAAACACTAGAAACGTTCCTAAAATATGCGCGTTTGAAGATTCTATTGCACTCAATGGCAAGAAGAGCATTGCAGCTTAACGTTCTTTAAATTTGAGTCAACAAATAGAGCACTGCATTCATGCTCTGTTATGTCGGTATCACAATGTGCACTTTTACCCGATTTATTGGCCAATAAAGTGGGCCAATTATTGCAGGTCTTCTCGGTCGTCATCGATTTAACACTTCGATATTGTTCTCACAATAAATTGGTGCAATTTCAGTAAAACTATCATAAATTTCAGTACTTTAATTCTGTTGTTTTTTGTTGGTAACGATATGTAGACCATAGCACGTAAACCAAAAAGAAATTTTTTGCTTATGCCTCCAAAGAAGCGACTAAATTTCCTTATTAATTCGCTAGACTTACCGGACAGCTTAGATCGCTAGACTTATAGACAAAACGGATTTTAACACAACATAAATTTACAGCATGCTCCACGTCCGTAATAAATAGTACCATTTTTCGATCGCAGCCCGAGTCCACGCTTTTCATTCATATCTGCGATCTTCAGTAATTGGTCCAATTTGGTGGCCATAAAAATTGCCCAATAAATCGGGGAAAAGTTGGTAGTGTAATACCGGCATGATCGCGTCGATTTATTGTTGAGTACGAGAGTTTGTTGTTTTTTACAATGTTTTATCCAATAAACAAGAAAAATTAGGAAAAGGGAAATCCAGTTTTGCAAAATACAAAATTCGGTTGGACTTTGCCAGGTGCTCTGCACGTAAATGATCCAATTCACAATCTTGGAAATAAATGTTTTCTGAATACAGAATAGTCTGTATAAGATATTGGATGAATGGCGGATTTATGAAAAATGGATGACATATACTATTCCCATTTTAAATTATCGATTGCGAAATTAGAGGGCAAAATATATTTTCGAGATAATTTTTGAAAAAAATGCTAATAGTAAATAGATTGCCAAATCCGTTTAAGGGAACATGTCCTGATTTAGGAGGACCTTGAACTGAGTCTGTCAAACGTTACAAGCAGAAGAAATACGTTTCTCTCAAAAGCTGAAAATACAATCTGAATATATTAAATGTTTTGGCAACTACGAAGAATGAGAACTCATGACATGGTTATCTAAAGGTGAATTAGAAATAGATTCTGGTATTAGATATTTTCTTAACAAAATAGCACCAAGTGTGAACGGTGCAATAAAGTTAGGCCATCAAGTTCAATGTGATTTATTGGAAATGGTAGTTATAATGGGGACTTGTTCAATATCAAAGCGTACAAGTACTGAATTTCATAATAAAAATAATAAATACACAAGGTACTTACGGGAAAATTTACAAGTTTATTAACCTGTTTTCATATTCGTAAGCAAAATCTGCGTAAAAAAAGATAAAGTGCGACTTACCGGTTTCGGGTGTAGTTCCGTCAACGCTAAAATGATGTTCCACTAGAAATTCCAAAATTTTCTGATGCTTGAATAGTATCGCAATAGAAGCCACAGGAAGAAATAGCTCTAATATTCTTCTGGATATTCCCCCGGTAAGAAAATGATCTAGTAGGAATTTAACCATCTCCAAGTTTCCCGATGCAACGCCTAGTTGAAATACGTTTGTTCCTAATATTTTAAATATTATTAGAAAACAGTCATCAATTACAAATATATCTAATTAACAAATAAACTTATGTTAAGGCAGCCTTATACTACGAACCATGTAATAGAGAAAGTTGTACAGTGTGTCCTCGAAAATTTAAAAAAAACCTCGCACTTTAAGTATGCTACAATTTTTTAACTTGTGAGTTTTTGCGCAAATAAATAAAGGTAGTTAGTGTCATTAGTCTAAATGGAATAGAATTTGCTACTATTTAATGTAATTATAAATGTATCTGGTACGTAACTATTATTATGTGCTTGTAATTCAGTATTAGAAATTAGTACTTAAAGTACAACATTTTGGATTTTCAAAACCGTTAAGGATAGTTGACCTTAGCGCAGATGGACGTGACGAATTTCAATTTAATACTGAAATAATTAGTTCTATGAGTTTCATATTTTTTAAAAATCAAAACAGAGGTACAGAACTTGGTTGAGGTCCTACAAGTAACTCAAGGCGAATATCGACAATTTAACTAATTCAGTTCCAAAGTAACCATTTTAAAAGGATTATGAAACTTACCAAATGCATTAACAAGGGTAGCGTTTGCTCTGTGTAATATTAAACACCTTACTGAATCGAAATGTCCTTTGCGACAGGCCATCATCAATGGCGTCCATCCTAAATAGTTTTGGGGATCCACAAAGTGAAACTCCTGGCGAATGTATTTTTCAATTAATGCAACTTGGTTTGAAGCAGCGGCAATATGTAACTTGGTGTTTTGGTCATTGTCAATTAATTTCGGATGGTTGTAAGAAACTTGCGGCCTGTGAAAAGAACCAATTTTCTCAATAGGCTGATTAATATTGACATGCTGCTGCCTAGCGTTCAGATATTTAAACAATCGTAGCGTTATAAACAAAAGTCTACAATAAAAAAAAATTCAGAAAAATTAATAAGATTTTGTGCAAAAAAGAACAATAATATTCAGAACAACTAGTGATCTATTAGTAATCAATATAGGTGAATGTGGAACAAGATGAGAGTGAATTAAAAAAACAGAATCGGTTCCGAAACAAAAGGTAAACAAGATGTCTAATGATAATTTCGAAATAAGGCTGGGTAATTTTTGTGGAAAACTTGTGTTAGAAATATAGAAAACAAGCAAAAACTACCAGAATTCCGGATTTAACTCCGCGTAGCCACTATGTTTCAAGATGTTAGGCAAAAGAAGGGTGTATATTTCCTGGAATAGTTGTTTGTTAAAAACGATACTTTTGTGAAAATAACAGTTATTCTTCAATATTAGTGACAACCTAAGAGTCGACTTGAATGTGCAATACCCACATTTTCAGTAATTAGGTACGTTTTTCTAGCATAATAAATCTCACCTATAATTCGTTAGAGAACTTTCTCTGCCGGAATCACTATCACTCATTTTGAAAAGTTATCTGCAACCCAAGAGACAAAGAAAATCAGCTTTTAAAATAAATCGGTTGAAATGTTTGTTGGTTCTATTGCCTATACTGGTACTGCCTATCGTACTGCTTTAAATTTCATGACTATTGTTGTACGATGTTTCGGGTTTGGAATTCAACGGATTTTTGAATTCGTTTCTTTTTCAATGTGCTGTTTTTAGGCTGTTGCAAGCCAATATTTTCCACACATTTAATACGTTTCTGTACATGGAGCTTAACAGTAATCAATAATTTCAGGCATACAAGTCTTTTTTTTTCAAGTCAATTTTTCCAAGAAATGTCTCTAGTTATTCCAGCTTGAGCAATTGGGGTCCAAAGTTAAAGAGAACTCAGTTAATCCGCCGTTTCTTTCTAGTTAATTTGTCCCTTCTATCGTATTTTATGTGGGCTTAGGGAAAACCTATTCGCTAGCAATTGCTGAAGAGCTAAGTAAAAAGCTGCGAATGTTTAAATGATCTCCCATGGCCTCAGAAGTATTTTATTGTCGAAAATGAGGAAATTTTTCACTCTACATGCTGTTGTGTGTGACATCAAGCACAGGATTACTGCACCCACAAAATATGTTAAAAAAATCAAATATAAGCAAAATATGGATTCGAACAAATCAAGAAATAAATCAATGGAAAACGAACAAAGCAGTACAAATCAAACATGCATTTAAAAAGTTGCCGAAACTAATCAAAACTAAGCCAAATCCCTAGGAAATAAAGGAAAAGGAAAAGGAAAAGGAAAAAAAATAGGGCAACGATTTTTTCAAAATCGTCGCCGTGACGTCGAAAAAGTGGTCCATTTCAATTTTAAAGTTGAATTTCAAAGTTGAAAGTAAAGGGATTATCTTTACATATTCTAAATGACCAATTGTTCTTATCAATATATTTTCTAGAATTTTTTTTTTTGAAATTACATCTTACATAATGGTATTCAGGTTTGCTTTCATTCTATCAAATTGTTGATAATAACAATTTGATCCTAGGTAAATGAATAAGTTTCAAAAATAAATTGGACGTGGTATCTAGAAATCTTATTAAGTTAAGTACTGCCAAACACTAAAATTTTCAAATTTTAAATCTTGTAATTTACGTTCTACTAATATTATAGCTGCAAATGTGCAAAAACAACACATTTGCTGGAAAAATTGCGGTTCAAATTTGAATCTAAAAATAAATTGCCTCCACCAAATGATGTCTGCGTTAGATAAAATACACCACCGCGAATTTTTTTCCGTTACATGAGATTTTTCACCGTGAATATTTAAAATTGAATTTTATGATGGCTATAAATTTTGCTCTAACTATATATCGTTCAAGAGCCGAGGCGCCCAAAATTAATATGTCCCTAATTCCTTCGTAGTCTTTTACCAGTCCATTTAAAATGTGGAGCAGCAGATCTTTAGCATTTATAGAAAAATAACAAATCTTTAGTACCTATTAAAAGCGGCAGCTCAGCAGATTCAATTCCTTTTGAAGTATTTAAACTTTCAACTAATTATGTAATATGGAATATTTGTTAAAAGAGAAATGCGCTAGGAAGTCACTTACACCTTAATTTCAGAATATAGCAAACGTTAAATGCTTTTAATGTTTAACATTCTGGATCACGGCTGTGTTTTTCTGAATTTAATGTTATTACAATGTGCTCATTAAGTTATTAAAGTTAAAAATACAAAAGTAGAAAACGTTCAATTACACAACTTTAAAATTAGTATCGTTTTTATATGTCAATGTGGAGTTCTGAATCCGAATGTTTCTTGCGCTGGAATGGATCGATTGTTCATAAAATACAAAATGCAGACTAGCTTCATTGTTATTATTAGTTATTTAGCCAATACGTACTCCTAACATTTGTATGAGAGTTTTACATACTGTCTGCAAATTAACTAAACAAGCTACGCGTCTCAAAATACTTCCATTTATACCGACCACAATCTTAAACTCCACCTACTCAGTTCTTTGTATTAGTCAGATATTTATTCCACGTATCGTCGGGTTTTTCACACTAAAAATCTGTATTATTGCGACCCTTGCAAAGGTTCTGTGACCTGACTTACATGGAATATGAATTTTTTCATGGCATTCTAGGTTGAACAAATAAAATTGAGTGCCTGCTAAAATGACAGATTTATAACAAAAATAATTGCTTAGCGAAAATCAGAGTTGGGGTTTACCGGTAGATTCGGTTCGAATTTTACAGGTTTCTATCTCTATGAAAAGCTTATCGTTCAATTGATGCAGTAATCCATCCACTATGGATTTTAATAAAATTATATGGGAAGTTCATTGATACTCTCAATTTTTACATTCCGTTCGCATTTTAAATCCTTAGCGGAAAAGGATAATCCAATTTTTTTCAGAGGTGTTGAAAATACCCATATTCTGTAATTTTAAAAATCTGATATGCAGAGGTGATCAAGTTTTTTTTTAAATTACGTATGTTTATACGAAAAAACATTCATAACGGGTTATGGAACGGGTTCATAACGGGTAATTGAAGGATTGCCATTTTGGAACATGGATCGTTTAACTGTGGAAGAACGCGTAAACGCTATTAAATGTATAGGGGCGTTCGTTTATACTTACAAGTAAACATTAACTAATATGAAATCATATATTTACCTCAACGMTCGACAATGTTCTTRTAATCGCAGTTCMTCAGGTCGTTGTTCGAGAKAATACATCTGAAATCATTTTGAGAAAGTAATTGAGTAACCAGTTCAAYAAGAATTATATTTAGATTATTATTATGGGAATAATTAAAACATGTCAGAATCAGCTACAAGCGCCAACCGTGTCTCAACAAGGAGCAACTCACTCCAGAGGCCTCACTTGGAGTCAACGGTTATCCACCTATAACTTAATTTACAGTAGTAACTTTACTCTATTGAAGTATTTTTTAGCTATCTCTGAACYCCGCACAACTACAACCCAAGTTGCATCCTGCCACGGCCCACGGCTAAACCTGGGTTATKAAGAGGTATTAARGGAACAACGCGYGGAATACCTCTCCAAGAAAAGCCTTACTAGTCACCGGCATTTATCATGATAAACAGTATTTCAATTGGCCACTAGGTACTGCGGGTCATCTACAGCCAGTACCCGTCCCTAACATTATTACTCAAATAAACTGAACAACAGTCT